GCGGCTGGGAGCTGGTGCTGAGGTCCCTCGTCCTCCCGGGAAGGAGGCTGTGCGGGTGGTCTCTGCTCTCTCCCGACCACCAGGCTGCCAGACGTGTGTGTGCACGTGCGTGTGTCTGCGCACAGCCCTCTGTGGCTTACGAAGCACCCCGAGGCCCGCAGCTGTAGTTCCCAGAACGGTCTTGGAGGTGAGTAAGCGGGAGAGGAAACTGAGGTCGGAGAGGCCGCCTGGTCAGAGCCCGAGCCCCTCCCCACCCACGGTTGCTGACATGCCGTGAAGTAGCTTGCGCAAGGACAGCAGCTCACTGCGACCAGAGCTGGGATGTCCTCCCAGAACGGCCCTAGCCAGCCTGGCACTGGGGCAGGGGGTTGGGGATGAGCAGACACGGCCCCGCCTAGGAGTCCTTCCGGTGAGCAGGGTCAGAGTCGCGCTGGGAGCCGAGGTGGGGCTGAGGGACGAGAGAAAGGTGAGGTGGCACGCAGCACCTCGGGGGACTGATTTCCAAGAAGCCCAAGGGAGGGCGTGGAGGGATGGGTCTGGCGCCGGGGTGATGGGAGCCCCATCTGCAGGCTCCTCAGGGTAGGGAACACGGCCTGGCGAGCTCCCCGTCCCCACCTTGTGTCAACCATGCCTCCATGCCACCTGCCTCACTCCTCCCAGGCAGCGTGTGGTCTCACCTGAGAGAGGCCGGTTCTGATGCCTCTGAGAGAGGGACCTGGTACAAACAGAGCACAGCACGACAGGTCGCCCCTCACTGTCGCCAACACCCGGCATGTGACCTCATTCCCAGTCTGTCCTGTATGCACACACACGTTTCAGCCTGTGTCCACACACATGCATATTTCAGTCCATGTCCTGTACACACACACACATTTCATCCCGTGTCCTGTACACGCATGCACGTTTCAGTCCGTGTCCTGTACATACACATGTTTCAGTCTGTGTCCTGTACATACACGCATGTTTCAGTCCGTGTCCTGTACATACACATGTTTCGGTCTGTGTCCTGTACACACACACACACACATTTCAGTCCGTGTCCTGTACACACACACACACACATTTCAGTCTGTGTCCTGTACACACATGCATATTTCAGTCTATGTCCTGTACACACACACACGTTTCAGTCTGTGTCCTGTACACACACGTTTTAGCCCGTGTCCTTTACACACACACACATTTCAGTCTGTGCCCTGTACACACACACGTCTCAGTCTGTGTCCTGTACATACACATGTTTCAATCTGTGTCCTGTACACACACACGTCTCAGTCTGTGTCCTGTACATACACACACGTTTTAGCCCGTGTCCTGTACACACACACACACATTTCAGTCTGTGTCCTGTACACACACACACGTTTCAGTCCGTGTCCTGTACACACACGCATGTTTCAGTCTGTGTCCTGTACACACGAGAGAGGCCGGTTCTGATGCCTCTGAGAGAGGGACCTGGTACAAACAGAGCACAGCACGACAGGTCGCCCCTCACTGTCGCCAACACCCGGCATGTGACCTCATTCCCAGTCTGTCCTGTATGCACACACACGTTTCAGCCTGTGTCCACACACATGCATATTTCATCCCGTGTCCTGTACACACACACGTTTCATCCCATGTCCTGTACACGCATGCACGTTTCAGTCTGTGTCCTGTACATACATGCATATTTCAGTCTATGTCCTGTACACACACACGTCTCAGTCTGTGTCCTGTACACACCCACCTTT